TGGGGATGCTTGCCCGTATAAGCTAAGCAGAGCGTATGTGTGTTGGAAGGGTTGTTTCTTTGTGTCCTGTGGCTGTCGGTGGTTTCCTGTTGCCTCCCTTTGCTCTCCAGAAGTCTGGGTGGGTCGTTTGCGGCCTTGCTTTGGGTGCTGGTGTGGGTGACGTGCTCTTTCTGTTGTTAGGGGACTGCTGCACGTGGGAAATGTCACCTATGGAATTGAGCCCATGGACGACAACTCGGACCTCAAACACATAGTGTACCGCTTGGAGAATGTGCAGAAAGAGCCCATGGTGTGTGGAGTGAGCAGCACCGACCTGGGAAGAGAGCACACAGAGTACGAGCAGCCTCCCGGCATGACTCAGCTGCTGCGAGTGCGTACTCAGCGTCCCTCCCGAGCACGGCAGCTAACCATGTGGAAGTGCTGTATTGGGTTGCTTAGGGCAGCATGCATGTCGTGGGTGGCATGTGGCAGATCAGGGAGGGAGCAGAAAGCAGAGCAGCCGGTCAGGCAGAGGAAGGACTTCAGAGTGGCATTCAGGGAGGGTGCAGGGCTTTGCTTGTGGCACGCCTGCCAAAAAGGTTGGCTCTGATCACTTGGGGTAGAACACTACCGCTCCAGGCTTCGCACTGGGGTACTGTCTGTCCTGCTTTAAACTCTGTATAGGTGTGTTGTACATGTGCAAAATAGTGACAGATCCCTCCGGGCTGCATGGAAAGAGCAGGAGGAGCAGCCACTGCGGCGCTGCGAGTTGGACGGAGATGTGCTGGCTGAGCTGTGCGTGGGGGGTGGCAGTGGTGCCCACAGGGTTGAGGCTGTCTGGCAGAGCTCCCTGCCAGAAGCCAGCTAACCCACACCTTGCTGACGCCTGTGCCGATACTCCTGTCTCGTAGCGTCAGAGTACCGCAGGCGATTTGGAGAGCATTTCTTTGGGGTAATGGGAATTTCCAGAGGTAGATGGCAGAAGGTGGGGCAGAGTGGCACCTCAGAGACTACCTAGTTCAGAGATGTTTAGTTTTCCATGTTCGAAGCGAAATTAGCTAAAACTAATTCCAGATCCAAGAGTCCAGAACCGTAAGTGGCCCTACTGCTGGCAAACATCCTCCACCCCCATCTGGGGCTTCAGCTGTTTCCAAAACCTTTGGCAGGCATCCTTGGGGATCAGATGCCCTTGAGTTTTGCTTGCCCTCAGCCGTAAGGCCCCAGAGACCAGCCAGGGAGGAGTCTCCCATTTCCATAAAGTGGGCTTAAAGGCAAGGCCTTCTCGCTCCAGCAGCTAAGTGGGAGGTTTACTATACGTGACCTTGGTAGGTACTATCCGCGTGCCGGGAGAGCGGCCTTCCCCAGTGGGGCTAGAAGACCGCTTCCGTGGTCACGGTGTTTCCCTTACCTGGTAAGCATAGACTATGCTGGAGCTGAGCCTTCAAGAGGCCACGAGGGTAGGTTAGTGCAGCTCACCTGGATTCAGAGTTGCATGGTAGTGGACTTTGTCCTGCACTAAGATCGTTGCTGACTGACAGATGAGGTTATCGCCTACAACAGCGCGTGCTTCTTTGACCTGGTTAGCTTCTTGGGTGCCGCCCTGCCATACCTTCTCTCTGGCTTCAGACCAGCACGCCTAACTACTTCTGTGTAAATGTGAATGGGAAGCATAAAGATCCCTTACTTTCCTTCAGAAGCAAGGTGCCCTTATCTGGCCAGTTCTTTAAGTCTAAAGCACTTTGAGAGAGACCCCCAGTTGTATGCATGTGTGGTGGGTTTGAGGGTGATTTTTGGCTGCGTGCATTGTGGGTGTATCTCTTAAAACGACCGCTTCGCTAATGTGTCACTGAGTATGAAATGCGAGAATGGATTATGATGACCTAACTCAGTTAAAACTGCACTTCATCCAGTTGCAGTTGATCAAAACAAAGTTTTGTTTGATGGTTGGCCTGGGCTTTTTTAACAGAATAAAAGAGCTGTTCTTCACCAGACAAGATACGTGGAGCTGTTCATCGTTGTGGACAAAGAAAGGGTAAGGTATACATTTACTTTCATACCCTTGCTGATGGTGGACTAAAACGTAGCTCTGAGAAAACGCACTCAGACCTGTAAATACAAAGTCGTAAGGCAGGAGAATGTGTAGCTTTCCTTGTTAAAGCAGTCAGCAAGCCATTTGTGATCACTAGGGCCACAAGAAAGACCACAGGCTGTTTATTTAACCTCAACTACCGAAGTGGAATGACTGAAAACACACAGTCTGTGTTACGACTGTGAGAAAACTGGACCTCAAGTAAAACGCCGGGGGGTCAGGATTTCTCAGGCAAGGATTCTAAGGGGTCATGGAAAGTGTGTGAAGAGCGCTCCCCTTCCTGGTCCATCTCTCCTGAATGTGTGGAGATTTGGGCCGTGTCTGCTTTCCCCGGCGACCTCGGCTCCCAACTTGCATCTTCCAAACCTGAGGCTTGTGCCGTGGGAAACTGCCTGTGATGATGGGACTCTTACAAGACTGGTCCCCCCGCCTGAATTTGGGCTGATGTTGCTTGCATCTGACCCCTGTGGTGGAACCTCTTTCTCTTTCAGTATGAGGTCCAGGGTAGGAGCGAAGCTGCTGTGAGAGAAGAGATGGTGCATCTGGCCAACTGCCTGGATAGCGTAAGTTGAAGCCGTGGATTGTGTAAGCAGCAAAGACTGCTGGGTGCTCTAGACCTGCAGCCTCTGTGCTGAGTTTCAGAAATGTGCCACCTTGGTCAGAATGCGGGAACGTCTGTTATTGTCAGGACCCAGCCAGTGTTAGCGTGAGGAGCGGAAATCCTGTGTCTTGGCAGGTGGGATGTGAATCTTAAAGCCTAGAAAATGAGGGTTGGAGAGGATGGTATTTTATGTACCAAAGACTGTGGTGGAGTTTGCCGTTGCAGAACCCCCCCACTTTTTTTTCTGCTTCAAAATGTGCTCAAGTGCAACAATTTGGCTTGAATCAGGAAGCAAATATGAAGCCCCAGTGACCTTTCTGACGTGAGGAGTCTGACTACAGGACTGCAGTAATCTGCACGGGCATTTAAGCCTGGGAATCAGTTTTATTTTGTTCTGACGTTGGCTCTGGGCCACCAGAGATGCAGCTGGATAGTGGTCTGGGTCCTTTTTCCTGGTGTTTTCGGTATGGGTATACGCCTGTTTCTGTAGCTATCCTGGTGCAGTTAGGCACCGGTCCTGTGAGACCAGTAACACCTCCCATGGGGGGAATACAGGTTTTGGTAATGTTTTACTTTGGAACCACAGAGGAAAGGCAGAAAGTTTTAGATTCTTTCTGCTGGCTTGCTCATAGCATCTCGCCCCTGCTTTACCCTGCCTTGTCCTTCTCCGGCCTTTCCAGATGTACATCATGCTGAATATCCGCGTCGTGCTGGTTGGCTTGGAGATCTGGAAGTACCAAAACCTGATAAGCACCGATGGAAGTGCTGGTGATGTGCTGGCCAACTTTGTGCAGTGGCGAGAGAAGAATCTTGTGACTCGCCGGAGGCACGACAGTGCGCAGTTTGTTCTGTAAGAGCCGGGATCCCCGTTTTGGTGGTGGTTGTTCTTTTCCCCCCATCAGCAGTCATTTTGGGAAGAGAAGCTGCCAGTCAGTGCAGTGTCAGTAACCGGCAGGAACCTTGTAAACATGCAGGTTCAATTCTGGTGGGGGGGTCTGGGCGCGGGGCTGCTGTGAGTGCCCTGAAGCAGCCTGTAGGGCATTCTGCCTGTCGTGGCAGTGCCAGAGTTGAAGCTAGGTGATCTGCTGCCCACCAGAAGGCAAAAATGGAGCTCCTGGCAGATGGAGATGTGACCCACTTGGAACAATTTCTGTCTTGTCTTGTGTGTTATGCCACTGAATATTTTGTTTCTAGAAAGCCAGCAGCTGTGAGTGATTTCACAGGTGTTCTTTTGCCATGTAGCTTGTTGGGGAGACTCGAGCATCCAGGGTTTTTCCCTTGAAAACTTGCTGTTGCAGGCCCACCGTGGTGATGCTGTTTACATGAGCCTCCACTTGTGGAAGGAGTTGGCCTGTTCCTATCTCACCAGCAGTTTGCGTTATTAAATAGGAGTCAATATTTGTGAAGCTGTGTGGGGAGCGCTGTCTTACAGCTAAAGTCCTCCGTGGCCATTTGTGGGCAGACGGTGCCATGGGCTGCTGTATCTTGACAAGCAGCTCCTTGCGTAAATGCTTTGCCCCAGAAAGGTGCACAATCCCTGTCTCCTTCCAGTTGACACCCAGGCTTAAGAAATCATTGATGGTGAATCGTCAGGGTACTGCTTCCTTGTGCAAGGCAAGGAACCCTAATGTAGCATCCTGTTGCTCCTGAGCTTAGCCAGGGAACGTTGGAGAAGGCAAAGTAAGAGACGTGGAGGGGAAGAGGGAAGAAAGGCTCGAGGGGAAGGGATTGTGCAATGAGCCACAGTACAAACCTGAAGGGAAAAACGCCGTGTAAACGGGTGTGTAGAGTTACCCCAGGCGCCTAATGTTGCATTTCCTCCGCGCTAAGCCTGGGAACCCAGAAGTGGCG